CGGTTGTTTTCCCCTCCAAGTATCTCCCCAGCGGAGCACCACTCCTACCGGGATAAGATTATTTTCAAGGTCATACGATTGAGGCCCCGAAATATAAATATATTTCCATTGAGTTTGTAAGAATATTAAGTAATCGCAATGGTAGATCGAGGGGAGTGGATGGAGGCAGCTAATAACGGCAAATACTGGATGAAAGAAAGTTGGCAGAAAGGCATTTGTCACGTGGCGAAGTTGACAATCATTTTGTGGCCAATGACGCCTGTCAAGCTACATTGCATCAAAGGTGAATCTGCACTGGAGGCGAAATATTTTTAAAATTCTTTATCTCTGATTTAAAGTTCTTCATCCCTGAAGAGTTAGGATTCAAGAAATTGAAGCTCCTGTAGCTGTGCCCCCTCTTAACTCGCCAGCGACCAAGAAATTTAAATCAGAAATAGAGAAGTTAGCCCAAGAAGAGACCAAAATGTCAACTACTACCTGGCTACTGCTGGCAAGATAACTGAAGAAAGCGTAGGCTTCAGCGGTCGGAGTTAATAGATACTTGGCTGTTTCCGTGAAGAAGGTCGCAATATGTCGGCCGAAACGTTGGCAACTAAGCCTATGACATGACGTCAGCCGGACAGCCAAGTATGCACTAACGTAACTGAAGGTTCTGTCGATGCGCTCGTCAATGATATAAATTGGTGCTCCTTTCGTTCGTTCGTTTACAATTGGTTTATTTGCATGTAACTTCAAACTTACTATATCTTGCCATCTCATCGCCCGATGAAAATATTGTGCAGCATGAGAAATTATTGAAATTAGGACATACCGTGCTCTTTATCCTTGTTTCAAATTCCTCTTTCAGCACGCATGCTGTGGAAACTAGTGCTTACCTACATTGTTTACCGATTACAAAATGCTACATTGCGGTAGAACGCATATGGCAAAATAGACTGTGCCGTCCTCGTACCGCAAAGTAACACTTTACCATAGGCGTGCGCAGTCTAAAGCGTGTGTGTGTGTGTGTGGGGGGGGGGGGGCAACTGCAACTTTGGGCCCCCTCTTCCATTAAAAAAAATAGTTATATATGCCATATTTTACTAGAAAATAAATAAAACATACTTCAAAGAGATTGAAAGTATTACTTTAATAAAACAATTGCATTCTTGGCTATCCGGGATGAGCCGCGTCTCGGTCAATTGTACAATTGACCGATACGCGGCTCATCTCGTATAGCCAAGAATGCATTGACTCCGGCCGCGGAAGCCTACGAACGCACTTAATAAAACAATTATTGATTTTATGTTGATCCATTTACATGGTTGCCAAATACATTCGAGAGCCTCTTCTTCAATTAATGTGCATCAATTCTACGAATTATCAGCTTAAAACGGGGGAAATATGGAAATGAACATATTTAAAGAACTAAAATGTTTTAGGACATAGGGCTACGGGATCCCTTTAGAATATTTCAGGGTGGTCACAGCCCCCTGCCCCCGCGCATGTACATTACGAACAATAAACTGAAAATAAGACCTAGTTTTCAAACATGAGTGCTAAAAATAAATATTTTTCATAACTTTTGTTATTTATACATTCATTCTACGTTACACAGCCAATGCGCGGATCGCTCAGCATCAAAACAAACTACTACTATGAACATAGCATGTTACGGGGTCATTGTCCAGTCCACCAGTCGGTTCTTTGCTGAGAAGAGCTAGAAGATGTCAGAATTCATTGTTTGAAGCACAGGAGGAATCTTGAAATGAGAAAATGGAAATTGGAGGAGCTACGATTATCTTATTAATCTGAGCAACATAAATTGGATTCTGAAAATGACGAGCAAGGGAAGAAATGCTGTCATTTTGGCAAGTCACGACAATGGTTCGGAAGATTTTGTTTTGAAGAATTAGAAGCTGGAAAGAAAGTATATATTAATTGTAGGCGGAGACTGCAAGAGGTCAAATATGATTCCTGCGAGTATGACCAAACATTCTATATATAGAGGTACCTATTTCACAATTTAGAATCATTCATTCTCTTGTTTCGGATCACTGTGTTGTGCTCTACTAACGCCATCAGCGGCATTAACCCCGTGTCACAATGAACTGCTACCTAGAAGGACTATTTTCAATTCTTTTTGTGAAAACAAAATTAGGCATTTTGGGATGTAAACTTGCAGGACCATTTTTGCGTCATTTCCACTCAGGACTCACTTCCAGTAGTTTGTCCGTAGAATTCAGGTTCACTTCATGCAAGTGAATAAGAAATAATTCCTATTACATCCTTGTAATGCAGGTAGAGGGTAGGCAATTCGTGTGGTACGAAAGTTTGGCAGGTACACGAAATTTCTCTGCGTTAGAATATGCACAGCAGTGCACGGCTAGTTGTCTAGCGATCAGGGGCAAGTACACGTATGTTACATTTGTGGTCTGTTGCTTGAGGTGTGATGAAATAACACTTGGGTAATAACTTAATGTACCCATTCTATATGATTCATGACTAGAAATACAAATGAATGCGAATAAAAATATTTTGCACAATAGGTACAAATGAATCATATAGAATGGGTACATTAAGTTACTACCTAAGTATTATTACATCAATTGTTATACATCATACATTTCATCAATTGTTACATCAATTATTGGCCACACCGAGTAAATATAAATATAATATATATATATATATATATATATATATATATATATATATATTATATTATATATATATATATAATAGAGAGCAGAGAGAGAGAGAGAGAGAGAGATGAGATGAGTAGAAACTTACCTTTCCTCTATATCCTTGATGTCAGAAAATCCATGTGGTGTCTTGTTACTGAAAAATCTATAGCGAGCGCAAAATCACTCTGATGTCGGTCGTTGTGGTAACACTAGCGCGCAAACTATTCATGGAGATTGTCTCCGAATTATTGATATTTCCCCGATTCGATCTGACTGCACTGAACGAGCCCTGCGTGCCAGTTTGCAACGATTAATGTATTTTGAGTGTGGTATATGGATGAGGCTAGAACTATCTAATAATATTGCCTAATATTGTGTAGTATATAATATTATAATTATATAGTTCAATGAATTTATAATTTAAAATATATATATTATATTATATATATATTATATATATATGTTTGATGTTATTATAGATATATATATTGTATTATATATATATATATATACTAAATTCAGTTTATATGCATTAAATAGATTGTTATTCATGAAATGTTTTCATATTATATACTGAGTACTTCAATTTCATATTCTTTATATTTCTTAGATGTCGAACCACAAATGTGTTGCTTGTTAGTAACTTCCCACCATTTTTTATAGAAAAAACTCTGTAAGGGAATGGAATTGAAGAATCTCTGTAATTGCAAATACTAAGCTCCCCTTTCAAATGCTTTTTTTTTGTTCCTGGAACATTAAGTTTTTTGGCTTTCAAATGTTTAATAATTGCCAGCAGAGTAGATTATAATTAACCCCTTTGTGCATTCTCTAGCATAGTTCATAATTTATTAAGTATTTATTTATGGACGTACTGAGTCAATGATGCAGAAACTATGAGGAATGTGAAACTTTATGACACTACATTGGATTGCAATAAAACAATTGTAAAGTTCAATAAGCACATCTTTTTTTCTTCTTCAGAGTTTGTACTTTTCTATAATAAAAATGTTCGCGAAAAGAGACAAAGTAATTAAAATAAAATATATAGAAACAAAAGAGGTAATGTTAAAGAGTTAAATTTAGTTTTAAGAAAATCATACACAGCAGGTCAAAGTGATGTTCTCTAAATAAATATCTGCATTTATATTCAACAGTGTTAAAAGTGATATTTTCCAAACATATACATCATGTGTCAATAATTCTTTGTGAAATTGTATAGAAACACCTTACCTTTTTTTCTGATATGTAAACGTGTATCTTCATTTACAAAACATATTTTATACTATTATTTTCTTGTTCTACAAAAGTGTTGAAAATCTATGTCCAAATTTCGGAAGTGACAACATATTTAAGCAAGAAATAAAATACCTTTATTATTACAGTTTAAAAGTAAAGGATTAATCTGTACTTTGTGTCACAATAAACAGCTTTTATCTTGGAATTTCTTTCTTGTAAATTCCTCAACATGAATTATTGTGTACTTTGTAGATCAAGACTTTCAGCAAATAAGTGCTTAACTTTGAAAAATATGCTTTATGAGTTAAATTAATATAATGAATACCCTTGGGTAAAATAGAATTGATATTATTGATCACTATATGAATATTAACGTATAATATAATTGAGATTCAAAGCAGGTAAATAATGATGGGACAAAATTACTTTTTTATAATTAATTTCTTTTAATGTTTCTGTTATTTCTGTCATTAAAAAAAAATCTTGTCTCAAGAATTTTTCCTATCATATACTATATTTGCAACATTTACATTTTCTACATCAGCATTAGACTCTTCACTTTCCTTGAGTTGCTAGAATTAAAATATATCAAATTATCATAATTTTTAAATAATAAATATATCATAATACTATAACATGTGCGTTAAATAATGTTTTTCCATTAGTAAATCTTCTGAATATTACATCTCTCAAATTTAGATAACTTGCTTGTATATTAAAAATTGTTTTTCATTACAGCCATACTATTTCAGCAATTTTTCATATAATGGAAATGAAGTGAAAAAGTAATTGTTTTGAGAATATCAAGTTACCAATTATTTTATAACCATATATATCAGTGAATAAACTGTGTAATTATCATTTGAAGATACCCACCTATCCTGTCTTTTAAATTGATGAAATATGATGAACCTCACTGCTATGACAGTAATTGGTATTCAAGGTGTTAAATTGTTACATATATAATTATAATTACAAGGTTTGTTCAATAGATATAAAAATAATTTCTTCTTCTTGTTTTTATGATTCATATAAATTGTAATGCATAAATTACTAATATCTGAATTATGGTCAAAATTGTCATTTTTTATTTTAATTTGTCAAAACTAGGAATATAATAACATAAAATGTGCTGCAAACTGACAATGTCTAAAAACATACCTTATTCCAATGACTTTTATTTAACATGTCAGCCAAGATAGCAATCAAAAAATGAATTAACCAGTTCAAAACTGAAAAAAATTAAAAATCATACATTTTATTTTTAAAAACATATATACACATGCAAAATACAATACTTTTAATTATATACTACCATGTATCAAGTTTTTTGTCAGTTGCATGTGCAATTTTGATTGTTATTACAGCCTGGATGTGCACTTTAAAACTAACTTTAAAAATAAAATAAATGTGCAAAATCTGTAACAAGTCAACAGTGATACAGATTTTGTACAATTTCAGAGAGAATAGTGCGTATGATTAATTGTGCAGCCCCTGCATTAGCTCAGTAAGCTGTAAAATAGTACGAAAATGTTCAGTTTAATGATAACTGTAGAATAAATATCTAGTCTTTCATTTTTGCATAATAATTCATCAGAGAAGTTTAACAAGATTCAACCTACATTCCATTGAAAGAGATTCCATTTATTTTCTTGTAAAGGGGTTAGGAGCATGTGTAAACAAGAAAAATATTACAATTTTCATGAATAATCACATTTATTTTTCTTGATTTTTTAAAGAAGATACAATATTTGTGTTCTATAATTTTGTCTTGTCACTGAGACTTCAAATTATTAATCTTAGTAAACATGAAATTAGTGATATGGACATTGCAAATTTGTATTTATCTTTTGTTACTAGCTGATGACTAAGTTTCTGAATTCATCTGAATGATTTTTGTTTATTGACTGTCATATGATGATAATATGAAAATGCAATGAATTAAAATAGAACCTCATTGTTGGCTTAATTATAAACTACAAAATTATTATTCCAAATAATCAAGTTTTTATCAATCATAATATATTCTGAATTATTAATTTCAAGGTCTCTATCACAATGACCTTTTCATATTACTGTTGGCAATACAAACAAATTTCCCAAATTAAAAATATCGGAAACGTGCATTTACAAAACATACCTACAAAAACAAATATTATTATAATAGACACATTTTTGAAAAATCTATTTTATAGATCCATAATGGTTTGCTTTGCCATTTCGTAGTAATCGAAGGAAGGAACCAAATACTAGAATTGTTTTTCTGTGTCTCTGAAAAATTCCTGAATATAAAACACCACGAAGTGCTTTTCGACTGTTTTCATCACTGGGTGATTCTTCAGCAGCATGTGCAGTTTCACTTGACATTTTTGTATATTATGTATTTATTAATTTTAGCTGTTTGTTTTCGAGTAAAAGCAAAGAAAAAGTAAACTTCCAATCCTTTATAATGTCAATTTCTATTTTTAATTGTTGGACTTTTTAATAAAATAGAATTGCATTTTACTAGTTAAATGTGCAACGTGTAACATTTTGAGTATTACCTGGTTAGGTATACATGATAATTGTGCCGAGTAACCAATGAAATTTACAAGTACTAAGAATTGCAGTTATTAAATGTTCAATGTGCACCCGCGAAAATGACGCAGTCCAAAGCACTGAAATAGTTTGGTTTCAGTTCCTTCTCAGGTTTCACACTGGTAGTACTTATATCTGCAACTAAGTCGATCTACTTCACAGAGAATTTACTACTTACTCGCGAATCAGTCTAATGGCGGCCTCAGACTCTCCTGCTGTAAATCACTTGTTTGCGGCACTTCCAGGAGAGGAGACGGGCTGCGGGTAGGTCGAACCACCGACACCTCGTACCTTTCGGCTGAAAAACTCTCGGTGACGTGATTCAGAGTGATGACTGGCTTGTTTATTGCTGGTTCCACCTCCTCCAAATGGATATCTTGAAACTGGTTGCTAACGTTAATACATAAGAAACCACCATTTTTCTTATCTCCGCTAGAAGCACGTTTAGTGCTCGCGTCCGACGAGGAAGCAGGTCTTACGTTTTGGCTTTCCATAGCTGAACTGGAAGCATCGCACGCGCCGGCCGATCGCAAGGAACTTCTGAAATTAGACACATGATCCTCACTGTATGTCTCGGCGCGATGGACTAACTTACACTCGCCGCTCGGAGGGGTCAGGTGGAAGCCGTGTGTGTCTGCACTTACTTGCGAATCTATACCACTACTGTCTTTTTGTACAGAAAAACTCTTCTCTGATTGACGCCGTACGGAATAATTTGAACAGTACTCGTCACATTTCGAGCTGCGCTGGGTAGAAGAATCACTCGCACGTGCACTGTCGTTTGTCTGCAACTGGAACCCTTCTAATTTGTTTTTCACGCATGCGTCGTCACCACAGTAGTTTTGGTAAATGTCAACTCTTTTCTTCTGCTTCTGGCTGCTTTGTGATGTCTCGTTAATTTCCTGTTGGTTGAAACTGTGAATTACGCTGTTTAAATTCTGTAGATGGCGTTGAAAGTAATCGTAAGAATCCTGCAGGTAGGCGGATTTCTCCTCTGATCGAAGCGTCGCGTCTGCGGCGGAACTGAGCGGCTTGCTTGTGGATGTGGAGGGTAACTGATGATTTCGAGTGGCGAGAAGCCTTTCCAATGTAGCTTGAGCGTCTTCCCTATTCAGATGGCGTTTAGAGGCTTCTTTCGACGTCAAAGTGGCAAGGTTTTCGTTCGGTAAACTCATTGTGCTCATGAGAAGAGGGGTTCTTGCTTTGCGTTTTCTCGGCTGCTGAACAGTTTCTTGACTGGCGATATCGTGTCGCGATTTCTGCGAGGGCGGTCTTGTCTTCGTTTCGCTATTATGTTTCTTCTTCCGAACGTGCTTTTCGCGGCGTGGCGAAGGGAACGCGAAACTCTTCGAAGGCTTGTTATCGCATAGTGATGTAACAGGGTTTGATGGAAGGACGATGTGCGCCTTGGAAGACAGGCGATGTTGTAGGAGAACGGATTTGCCTTGTAGAAATATGTCTCCGGAGCCCGGGGAGTAGTGGAGCTTAGTGGTCTCGCTTCTGCGTGCTGCCGGGGCACTGGCAGCTTTCTTAGCCTTCCCTTCAGCTACGCATGACAGACAACGGCGGTTGTGTTGGTGCGCTTGTTCCCGAGCTTCCACAAGCGACGCCGATTTGCGAAGAGATCGTTGAATAACCAGCATGGAAGATATAAATATAGCTACAGGTCTAGTTTAAAAAAAGACGGGCATATGACGCTCCCCACTAAATCTTCGGCGCGTCCACCTTTCCTCCGTCTTCTTCTAACTCGTTTCTTACGGCGTGACGTCATGAGCGCGCGAAACACGTCCGATACACGTGCCCCGCCCGGGTCGCACCTAGTTTACCGGCGCGTGTTGTCGCTTGCGGGCTACTGGCGGGTCTTGCACCACCGGCTCATATCCATAATGCAGCTCTATCTATAAATCAGCTGGGGAAGGAGAGTTCGATAGGCGAGTGCGGTTCAGGAGTTCGTAAAGTACTACAGCTAAATCGAACTCCGATATTCAATTCCAGGCAGACGAGCGTCAGGTATATTGGATGTATATTAAGACCCAAGCCTTTAAATTGATACTTGACATGAAATACTTTTGGGGAATATGAGACAGTCGCCGCTTTGAGACCTTTTCTTTCGTTAGTTATTAGCTCAAATAAAGGGAACAATAATAATACTAATAATAATAATAATAATAATAATAATAATAATAATAATAATAATAATTATTCGAATTTTCTAATTGTTTTGATAAAAATTGCGTGAATCAGTTGCATATATCCAGCATTTATAGCTTCGTATATCAAAAATGTCAAGAGTTAATACAAACTTTAATCTATGTTGCTACCGTGTTGGCATAGGCAACGGAAAAATATCATTTGAATGTAAATAAATAGCTTGGCGTGGCGCAATTTTCATGTTTAAAAATTTAATGTATGAAAGTTCACAGAGAACATAAATTTTAAATTTGAAATAAAACTAGTTTAAAAAAAATTAAGATAACATATATTGAATTCCACAGTTCACCTCAGGTCATGCACATATACATCCATCTTCAGATATATTTTAAGGAGATGTTTAATAAAACACATTTACTTGCATTATTATTTTAAACTTTTAAAATTTGTCTAATTAATTTTTGTTGTGCCGACAACCCGACAAGAGCCCACAAGCCTTCAATCTGCCCTTTGATGCGCTTATCATCACCTCTGTAGGTGCTGAATGTAAAAAACAAGAAAAAAAACAAAAGCCGCTTTTTCGTTACTTTAAAAAACAAAAAAACACGTTTTTAGAGAATTTTCGTTGAATTTTATGGATAGATCCTTTAAAAAAGTCAGTTCCCCATCAAGAGGCTGAGACTGTGTTCAATGACACCTCGTTTGCCTCGATTGGGGGACCGGAAGTGGTTTAACGGCGAGTGCGAAGTGGTTTAACGGTAGTTTACTATATAAGGATATACAATTCACCTCTTGTCGTCCTGGAGTTGGCAATGTTTAGAATATGCCCAACGAAGAACAATTTAGGATTCTGTCTAAAGAAATATAATGAAATACATTTCTGGATTGTGTTAATGGTTGAAAATCGCCGATTCCTTTTACGATAATGTTTTGGGAAAATCAGAAAAGATTGATATATTTTTGATTTTTTTAAACTTGTAAATACATATCTATTTATATGTAAAAAGGAGGAATAAAAAGATATAACTTATGCTAGAACTCAAACTTGCGTGCTAATACAGAACACGAAAATTAAAAATCTCCCAATTATAATACTTCCAGGTAGTAGGCAATACGTTAACTTTAGTTTTATTTTCAAATCATATCGTAAGATATCAATCAAATTAAGTCGTAAGATTGTTTTAAGAAGCACATGAATATTTTTATCATTCTTTTGTCCGATTAAATTTCCTGTTATTTCGTATAACTGAAGCAAAATATTGAGATTGGTTCCAAGATTCCTTCTGGTTCTAAGGTACTTTGCACAAGCAAGCGCCAACAAGGCTCCAAGAAAGAGGACGCTATTAAATATTTGCTCTTTACGTGTTATGGAACAGAATTTTTTTATTTTCTTGGTATGTAAAGAACTGTATGTATATAAATATGTTATATCGTGTTATTGCAGTATTTGTGCAGAGTGTTTTCGTTAAAATATTGCAAGAAGTTCGTTAGACAAAACATGCCTAAAATTGACTTAAGAGCGTATTTTCGAAGTTTCGTTGTTTCCTTCAAGGATACCTGCATGCGTGTGTTGTGCGTGTGAATACATAAGTCGCCTGGCCACTGGACCATCTGTACCCCCTCCATAAAAAAAAATGCTGCTGATAACGAGAAACACTTTTTCTGTTAAAAAAATTAAATCTGGAGTCATGTGTACCACTTACGTCGTATAGTGGAAGTATTGTAATGCTGCAACAAAAGATATAACAAAATATAATAACTTAGTGTAAATGTAGTGTAATTTTTGTTGAACATAATGATGATAGTAGTTAATCCAGAACGAGCTGCTGCTATTAACTCTTTTTTTTTCTTACCGTGTATTTTATTTTGATACTTTTATAAACATTATATTATTTGATTTTGCGGACTCGGGAATATGTGCTTAGTAGTGGTCAACAAACTTTGCCACATCGCTCCTCTCCACACACAAGAATTCAATCGTCATTTTTTTTAATCGAACGGGGGTTTACTTTCACTTTCTAACCTACCACATACTTGCGTTGTAAAAGGTCGGCAATACAGTGCTGCAGAGAAAATGACGATTTTTCGACCGAAAATATCATATTGTGGGGCCTTGTTATAAAAAAGAGGATAATTCGTATTCCTAAATGTAGTAAATAACTTCCTGTAAATGTTGTGTAGTCAGAATTCACATTTTGCAAGTCCCTGACACCGAAAAATTGGTGTACGCCAAACCGTCTCTTTGTTTGGGAATGTCTGTCTGTAAACAACGCTAGCGCTTAAACCATGGGCAGAATTTTCATATGATCATTAAATTGATATTCCCCGATGGATCTGGCTGATGTCGCGACCACTTGAATTTGAGGTATTTCGATTTTTGAGAATACTTTACATGAAGCCTCAAGGACATTTTCAAAATTTTCCCAAAATGCTTCCAAATTTTTCTTTAATTTTTTTTGTCAAATATAGCAGGAACGCTTATAAAAATGTGTCAAGTTCGATTTTCGTTAAACTCTCTGAATTTTCGAAAACTGCAAATGTTAAAAAATTTCGGTGTTTTTCTACAACAACAATAATAAAGATAGACATTTTCTTCTTAGTGAAATCTAATTAGACTTCAAATGGGATCACTTCATTTTTTTAATATGAGAAGTTTTCCTGTAATTTTGCGTGAAGACAATAAAAGAAAATTTTTAATAATGTTTACAATTTTTCTAGGATAGTGCGAAGTGCATTTATAAAAATGGCAAAGGTTTAGTTTTTGGTGCACTATTCTAATTTTCGAAAATTGCAAAAATTATAAATGATGGAAGTGTGCTGCAGCAAAACACGGAAGAGGCACTACTAGTTTTATCATGCATTAATGTCTGATGAAATGACCAAAGGTAGAAGTGTTTGTAGTGTTTCCATGCAATGATGTCTTTCAACAGTGGAAGAATGTTTGTCATGTCATGGAAATTGTTTTCGTGTAAAATGACTCCAACCTGACATCGCGCGCTTAATGATGCATGTAGTTATACTTGTGATATGTGGTGGCACATGGCCAAGACCGTCGTGAATTCAAGATCACGTCAAAAAGGTCGCCAACGTCGTTGAGAGGGGCAGGTGGGTCTATAATTAATACAGGAGCTTTAAAATTCACGTTGGAGGAAAGTGCCAGGTTTTTCGTTTACTAAAATATAGACCTGCAAGTCAATGTAGTGAACGTTCACAAAATACTACTTTTACTAGTCAAAGGACATAACAAATCTATCAGTTATAGAACATTGTTTAATTACACAATTACTGCATAAACTGTAATAATAAATATATAGTATGATGCAGGGATGATGTAGTTCCAACGAAGTACTTACAGGGAGTTGTTCTTTTCTTACTTATATTTAACATTCAACGCTTTTATTGATCATTTTTACAATAGCTATGTGCGAAAGAACACATTGCCGTTATAGAAAAGAGTTCTTGTTTCGCATCGAAAACTGGTCACATATATGCTAACGATTTTCAACGTCAGGTAGTTTTCTGACAATGTTTTCACGAAGGTTGCAGAAAGCGAAAAGAATGCAGAAAGAGTCTGGATAGAAATCTGGAACAGCATGGTTGCAACTGAATAATAAGCTTCTTTTTATTTTGACAAAAGGGAAGAATACTTCGTTATTATTCTGTAAGTTTAATTGTGAGTTGTCTTTTTAAGACAATCAAAATGGGAAATTATCCAAACCAATTTCAGTAGAAATACTAATGTATAATTCATATTATTTATTTACAGTTTTTCCAAAACGACCTTTTAGAAGATATTTCTCTCCTATCTTTAGATTCTAAACTATGAGACGGACTATAAAGATAATGTTATAATATATTAGAATAGTTTTAAGTAATGTTTGTAATATATTGTGATCTTTATCGCCTCTCTCGAGTCGTTTTCAAAAACAGTGTGAATAAGTAAACAATGTGAATTACTCATTTGAATTTCTGCGAATATTATTTGGATGTTAACTCATTTTTATTATATTAAAAAGTGAATTTACAGTATAATAATTTATTGAACGACAATCAATAATTTGAATTACAAATACTTCACATATGCATACTTACTAAGTATGTAAAAATATTTCGTTAACTTACTTAATATTTCGTTAACGTACTTTTGCTGAAAAATAATTAAAAGTTACTTTTAAAAAATGTATTTTATTATTTTGTCAATGTATTCATTAGAGTTTATTACAAACAGTTGTGTAATCTATGGAAGATTGGAAGATATCTGGTCGAATCTTCTGTGACTCTCACTCACTTCCTTGTATTCCGCTTTCTGCTGGTAGTGGTTTCGTGAAGGGTGATCAATCATTTTATACGTCTCGGAGACGATTCCATCAAATCATAATAGCGAACTGCACTATACATATTCGAAATGATGAAATCTTTATTGATTTCTGTCATCAAATATATTTTCTGCGTGCGACCGTGACCTCTTAAAAGGACTTGTGTATATTTAGCATACGAGACGAACAGGACGCGATCTACGACAGGCGATAAATTCAAACACGTTTCGGATTCGAGAGAAACGGAATTTCCATGTTAGCAGTAAGAAATGTTTGACAACCATGCCAAA